TGAACATCATTAATTTGTTTCCTAAAAGATGCTTGGAGCATGAGTAAAAATTTAATATTTGAAATGCGTTTATTTTGTCAACCAAAAATGTATCCTAACACATAAATTCCATCGATAAATGTTGCCTTGGCAGCTCCTATAAAGTGGAAAGTTACGATCTGAAGGGGCCACTACAGTGGAAACCCAGTCAATGTGTAATCTAATTCAATAAAACCCGAGAACCATATAGAAAGTAATCGTCAATCTCTAAGTTACGGTGCTTGTATAACGTGTAAGCAACGAAACGTGATATTAACTGTTATGACGGATATAGAATGAACAAGTTAAAACATAATGTGGCAAACAATTTATAAAACAAAACTGACAGTGAAGTGACACTTGACAAAGCAGCTACCAACAAGCTAAATATATTCAATACATAAGAACGTATGAGCCAATTTCCGATATCAAGAAGCTTCCGACCGAATGAACTGAACTGAAACGTTAGTATTTTATGCTCCGAATATTTCAGTCTCGTTTTATCCACTCGGCAATCATGTGTATATTAAAATAAGTGATTATTATTAATTCGCCAAAAAAAAGTACTTTACTTTTGCTTGACAGATACGATCGAGATACGAGAGTATTATTTGAAAAGAATATTGAATATGAATTTTCAGGGAGTAATAACTGACAAGAAAATGCTGATATAGTATGGAAACAATAACATATATAGTGCAAAGAATGAAATATATGTGCATAAAAGAGGAATAAATTCACATGACAGGGTGTGGTATGATATATTCTCATTAATGCAATCACCTACAAGTGGTTTCATTTTAATATAGTGCTAAAAGTTATTCATTTAAATATTTAGCTCAAACACTTCTCTCTAGTTTGTTTTATGAGAAAAATTTAAGAAAAATAGTGTTAGGTTCACGTGAAATGAGAACAAAAACTTATTGTATGTTATTTTCATGTTAATTGGATGATTGGTGATAACTCTTGCTGATTAATGGTGAAAAGTTCGTGCTTATGATCTATTAGGATTTGTTACTGTTGCGGGTTTACAGGATTTTCAATTGTAATAAATGTTTAGTGAATTTATCATTTATCAATTTTAATGTTAATAAGTATTTATTTAATATTCTGATACTATATTTGTTAAACCATATTTTTTAGGTATAACGATAAGCCATTGAAAGCAAAATAATATTCAGGCTGCTAATTATTATTTTTTAAATGATAATTATTTTCAATTATAAACTTTGTATTCTACTTATGAACGGTCTGTTGTTGGTGAAATAAATTCTGTCTGCTAGTGAATTATTCACGACACTATAAATATATTTCATTTAAAAATCATTATTTGGTAAATTTCTACTTTGTTCTTTTAATAAAAATTATATATACATTGACAAGAAATATAAATAAATAAATAAATTATTGCAACATTATAAATAATCTTCCTGTTATCATTTCCTTATTTTGACTCTACTAACTATTACACATTTTAGACATGGAGTCAAAATAGGAATTTATAGCTTGATGAAATAATGTCAACGCTATGTCTCAAACCTTAAGCTTGTTTGTTTACTTTTTCATTTTAAGCTACCTATGTTTTTTCTTTATTTTTAGAAAATCACCATTCCTCCTTTTTAAATGAACAATTTTTAATAATCTTGTAGAAAATGCAATGATAATAAAAAGTTATCATATAGAAGAAAGTAATAAAAACAAGTTAATATAGTAATAATTTCTAAGCAATGCTTATGGTTCGCAGCCAGTTGCCTTAAAATGCGCCCCGTATTTTGGGTCGTAGGAACGTTATAAGAGTGACGATACTATTCGGGGCCCGAGCGAGAGTTAATGGTTAGCGTGTCGTATTGTGGAGTTCATTATCCGTAGTTCTCGTCTCTGTATCAATATTAAAAAATTTGGCCCTGCACTCTGAGGCTGTATATGCGTTATAAGAGTGACGGTCAAATTACTCTATTCGATCTGAGAAGAGCAGCCCAATAGTAAGAAACTTTCAAAAGTAAGAACGGCCAGCGCAGATAGCCCTTGTGTAGCTTTGCGTGAAGTCCAATAAACAAACAAACACACTATCCTGTCAGATAGGACTTTGTTTATTTTACGACACAAAGCTACACAATGGGCTATCTATGTTGTGTCTACTGTGGATATTGAAAAATGATTTTTAGAGTTCTTAGACTTGACGATGAGCCAGTGGAGAGCCAGATAAATGTGAACCAAAAGATGACGTTGCTGGCTGTTGACTAGCTACATTTCCTCTAGTCTATCGATTCAGAATTAAGAACGTCTATGCGCTTTTAACAAACAAATGTAGCTACAAAGTAATAAAATCCATAATATCTCTGAGCGGAAAGAGAACTAAATGGTCAACGTCATTCTTTCGTGTTTATTCGAAAGCTAAACTGCTGCTTTGGCAGTGTTTAGTTTTTCAGTTGTCTTTGTAATAGCTTATGAGATTAATACAATAGCTTCTATTCCAATATTATAATTTCTTATGATTACATTATCTGATTAATACAATAACTTCTATTCCAATATTATAATTTCTTATGATTACATTATCTGATTAATACAATAGCTTCTATTCCAATATTATAATTTCTTATGATTACATTATCTGATTAATACAATAGCTTCTATT